TAGGTTACACATTTAGTGTGTCTTCACATTTCAATAACATTAGGTTACACATTTAGTGTGTCTTCACATTTCAATAACATTAGGTTACACATTTAGTGTGTTTCACATTTCAGTCGCATTATATATTTAGTATGTCTTCAATGTTCAATTATGTTACAGATTTAGTGCATCTTCAAACTGCAAACACATTATGTTACACATTTATTATCTTCAAATTACACACTTGTTATATTACACATTTAATGTGTGTCTTTCATTTTTGCCCACATTCTGTTAAACATTTATTACATTTACTCTATTTGTTTCTTATTATGTTATATATTTAGCCTATCTTTTAATTTCTAAGTTATCAAGGTTTAAAATAACTATATGGTAACATCTAACCTAATCAAGATTATCACATGACCTTTTATAATTAAATCGTTTTATAGTTTCTAACTAAATAAGCTCTTTCCATATTAAATTATTGTGATCCTTATGTTATCATATTCTACAGGCATTTTTCGATAAACAAATGAACATAAAAGAACTTAGATGGTTTTCAGATGGTTTATCAGTGTGTTTTATATATTATTTCTCATCTGTTTAACACTTTTAGGTATAACATGGTCACCAGAAGTATAAAGTTGAGAAATTTACTCATATGCTGATACTGTTATTTTCTGTAGTTAGTGTTTACATACAAAACGTATCACGTTACATTAACTTTTTTATCCTTAACCATACAGTAGCGTCTATATTTTTATATTGAGTTTGGGAATAGCGTCAGACATGACTGGAAAAGCAAAAGTATTTTGGTATATTTCTTATCACCAGAAACCCCCACTGTCGGGATTATTGTTAGGGTTCAAAGAACAGGCAGGAATACTGCTTTCAATCAGTTCTTAATTTTTCTTTTAGCGGGACATATCTGCTTTATTCGTGAATTAATTGAGATAGCAATTACGTAATGGGTTAGTTCTATATATTTTCGCTTCTGATTACCCTTAAGAGAATTGTCCCTGTGAAAAAGATTCCTTACAAATATAGGTGGCTCTCATCTGTAAACTCGAGCTTGGTGGAATAAAAGGACATTATCAATTGCTATTTAAGTTAGAGGATTTAATTTAAAAACCAGCGTTTCTGAGCCAATTATTTATTCTTATCAGAATCACGTATAATTCGTTTTATTCAGTTTTATAATCACTGAAAAAAAAGAGGCTTGCTTTTTCGTATATCGCACTTTATGTTTACTATGCATCAAAAGCATAAGTTTAAAGTTTAGAAAGAACCCTAGTTTGTTGTTTTTGTATGCTACAGTGTTGCTATAGTGGGCTAATTAAAAACAGAGCACGTATAAACAGATTAGAAAACACTAAAGAGTTTCTTTTGTAAACACCGGATTGATCATATTTAATTCCGACGAAGGTTATTTTGTTGAGACGATCGCTGACCAAGTTTCTTTGTTTTTGTTTATAATCTACTTTTCTTTAGTTGATTTCAGTTTTGTCGAGCGTATTTTAGGTTAATAGCTATCTGTTGAGATAATACAGTGCATGTATATTCGGTTCACGTTTAGGTTTAGAACCACTATAACTGTTCCCATATCTGTGTTTTGTTGAATTATTCATTAAAAATCCCATTTCTACCATGAAATTATGAAACCACTAAACCAAAATATGTTTGTTTTGTTTTTTTTGGTATGGGCTTGGCTTGGCTCTGTGGTATATATAATTATACTGTTCAGGTTGAAAATACCAAGTACGGCATACAGGTTAAATGGCCAATTCAGAGACCCCAGCGCTGGTTGGCCCTGTGATGGTGCTCTGGATTTCGGAGCTGGCGAGCCGGTTTCGAATCGGCGTGATGCCATAAAATATTCCCCACACTCTGTGGGTGCGTTATTAGGGTGAAAGTCACTCCCTTAGTGTAGATTGTGGGTGGTAGAGAGCTGGTGCCAGACTGACTTCCCTCTGTAGTTCAAAACCAAGGAAGGCCGCAGATAGCGATAATCAACTTTGTCATAAATACAACACACCAATTCTGTTTCTGATGTTCCCGGTGGATCAACTGTAAGATCTTAAAACGTTACAATTCGGGGTTCAATCTCTGCTTCAGCGCAAACTCTTAGGGTTTGGTTCGAATTTCGCCCAAAGCTACACGAGGGCTGTCTGCGCTAGCTGTTCCCAACTTAGCAGTAATAGACTAAAGGGAAGGCAGCTAGTCAACACCACCCACTGCAAAGTCTTGGGTTGCTTCTTTACCAACATTTAAACGCCTTCACGACTGAAAGAGCGAGAATGTTCGGTGACAGGGATTAGAACCCGCGACTCTCAGATTGCGAGTCGAGCGTCCGAACCACAAGGCCATTCCAGGCCTAAACTCTTACTGATAACGTGCAAATGAAAAGCATTCACAATATGCACAAGTTTTAATCTACAAACTAAGTAAAATATTAACAGGTGTAAATGTGCGTTGCTGCATGTCGGAATAAAAAAGAAGTTTTTATTCATCCCAAAAATTATATCACGTTAAGAGTTAGCGAATCCGTTTTAAGTCAAAATTAAATATTCTGTAAACCTCACTCTACGCATTTACTAAAGAAAACAGTTTTGCGTAAGAGACTACATTGCGCGATGGCCGGGCGGGAATCCGAAGCCTCATGGTTCGCGATCTATCTTCGTAAAAACTTGCTTCAAACTTTATTATGTAATAAGCACACACATTAAGATACCTTGACCTAGTTACAAGCACTTAGATAAAAATTTTCAAGATGTTTCACTTCTACCTTTTTTTTTTTATCGAAACAAACTGTGTGAAAACATTTTCTTGTTCGAACAATCACAAAAAACCATAATTTTGAATTAACGTAATAAACGTATAAAAATTACGCTTCTTAGAGACATAGACGAAGGTAAATTTCCCGCTTAACTATTTAATATTTTTTATTTG